GCTGAAATGCCATTATAAAATGTAGAGAATGTACTACGTACAAGGTATTTCAGTATTAAAATACCTGATAATCAGTTCTTAGGGCTATAGTATTCAAAACATGAACAATATACAAAACATTTTACCAAAGGGTACAACCAATCTTTAGTACAGCTCTGGCAAGTTGCAGAGAAGTAGGTTTATCTCAGAAGAGTGGTTATAATCAATATACAGTTCCTAAAGCTTCTTAGCTCTAAATGGTCTATTAAAGAGAACCAGATAAAGATGTCATGGGTGTAAAGGCAATATGAAAAGTGCCTGGCCTAAAATAAGATTCCTATCTATGTGTTTAATTGTATCAGGAACTTAAGATACTTCAATCTTCCAACTGTGTCTCTTTCAAAAAGCTACACTTTTTATGAAGTTTCTGGTTTGCTCTATTCAAATTCTTACTGTTCATTTTCCAAAAATGACACTACGGCTGATGACAGAATGACTTGTCTACATTTAAGTTCATGATTTTGACCTACACACATTCCAGAACTCATGCATGTAACAGAACTACGTATATGTTCACAACGTATTTTCAGACTGTTTGTCCTCACCTCAACAAAACAAAACTCTGACAACTGTGAATGCAGTAAGACAACAGCGTCCACTGGACTATGTCAACTTTGAAGATGTTTCTTGCTGACATAGCACCTTTAGCTGGACAAAGCACGCCAGTTACACATCAGAAAATGAAGACAGACAAAGATGAATAAACAGGATATAAAGGTACTACAACGTGTCACTATGAACCTCCTCAGCAAAGAGATGCTCTTCCACTGAAGGAGAAAGATATAAATGGGTGGAGGTTATCTTTATAAGAGTAGGAACTGACCTTAAATCAGATAAGTATATCAGCAGCACATATTGAAACCCACCATATTTCAGAAAAATCATTACTCAAATACCATAAGGTAAAGAACTAGAAAACAAGAATAGCTTTATGTCACTCATTGTATTGTATGGAAACTGAAAAAGATTGTGTGTGTAACTAATGTACACCATGTACAAAATACTGGATACTTTTTTTTTTGGTCATTTCAGGCAATAGTTGTTCGTCAAACCCTAACAGTAAAATAAATGAACAGAAGCACTGCTGTAAGCCACAAAATCTATAAAGAGACAACGGCAACTTCACTCAAATGCCATTACATGTTAGGCTAGACCCTGAAAAGAACTCTGGAGTGCAAGATGCATTTGTTTTTCCAAAAAGATCATTTCCTGTGGTTAGCTGTAGCCTGCTGCAAGCTCCAAAGAAGATTCCTATCCAGATTTCTTTGCTACATTTTCTTTCATATTCAAACTAAAAATTGTGCTCTTTCTGCCTCCTCTTTCTATGCACCAAAGACATTGTGAGGCCCCCTCTCCTGTCTAGCCCCTTGTTTTCAGAAGAGCCATGACTCCCACAAAAACAGTTAAATAGGTAAAAAGTTAAGGGAATTGTCAGCACGATAACCTGAACTCCTTATCATGCCTTACAGGACAGACATTCTTCATTCTTTCTGTGACTAAGCACCTTTAGCTGCATAGCAATAAGAACTATCTTATTTTTCCCCCCCTCCTTTCAAACAGATCATCACTGAAGATGGCTAAAATCCCATTCTCAAAACCATTCACCCAAATACTTCAGTTCATCCTAGAAAATTCTTGTATTAATAGGATTACTTTGGGGTTTTTTTAGCAATCACCTTTTGAGTCTCAATCGACTCTTACCTCTAGCCATGCTAATTGAAGTGCTAAAACCAGGTGCTATTTTTTTATTTCTCTATTCAAAGAGAGTTTGATTGGAATACTATTTTTAAGTCTGCCTCTATGTGGATCAGGTTTTAATATATGTCTCATTTACTTTGAAGTACAAGGTCTCAGTGAAAGATAAACTTTATGTGAGAGCACCTAAAAGACAAAGGCAAAAGCAAAGCACAAAGACACTCAGATGGTTAGGTCCCACACCAGAACTCTCAGATATGACATCAATGCATAAGATCAAAAAATCTTAGGAATTATTTTATGACCTGTTACCTTTGCAGTATTACAGTTAAGGGATAGAATTATTCATTCATGACAATTCTCATGAAGGCCTGGACCACACACTTAATATTCCCTTTCTGAAGCGGTCAGAAGCAATGAAGGTTTCATGAAAAAATAAGTGTAAGGAAAATCCTGAACGTCTCACAAGAAAACAAGTAAAAGAAAGCCTTGTTTGCTTTCCCATGAAGGGGGAAAATACAGTCAATTTAAATCTGTATGTAGGACACCTTTCAGGGTTTAAGGGACAACAATGATAGAAACACAGGACAGACGTTACAGTGCAGAATACAGTGAATTTTTCATAGTGATTTTCTCTCTACACAGACTTTTTTTTTAAATTTAGAAAACAATGCAACAATTCAATATTTCAGATATCTATTTCAGCTTCTCTTAGTCTACTTTGACTCCAGGTGATTTCAAAGCTGCCAGCTAACCAAAGAAAGTCCTGACTGATGACTTACCAAATGTCCAGATTTATCACAGAATCACAGAATGTTAGGAGTTGGAAGGAACCCTGGAAGATCATCCAGTCCAACCCCTGCCAGAGCAGGATCACCAGACCAGGTCACACAGGAACACATCCAGGCGGGTTTTGAATGTCTCCAGAGAAGGAGACCCCACAACCTCTCTGGGCAGCCTGGGCCAGGGCTCTGTAACCCTTACAGTGAAAAAGATTTTCCTTATGTTTACGTGGAACCTCCTATGCTCCAGCTTGCTCCCATTGCCCCTTGTCCTGTCATTTGACATCACAGAGAAGAGTCTGGCTCCTTCCTCCTGACACTCGCCCTTTACAAATTTATAAATATGAATGAGGTCACCCCTCAGTCTCCTCCAAGCTAAAGAGCCACGGCTCCCTCAGCCGCTCCTCATAAGGGAGATGCTCCACTCCCT